GTTCCCTGATCGCGGCTGGGGGGCGCAGGATCCCTAACATCCCCGCAGAGATCTCCCACGAGTCCCCCGGGAGCAGCCAGTGCCTGCTGGAGCACCTCCTCACACGGCTGCAGAGCAACTCCTGCCATGTCAAGCTGAAGGTGGGTCCGTGCCAGGGGCCCGGCAGGTGATGGGCTGGACCACCCCCCCCTTAGGGGGACTGGAGGGCACCCCTGACCTGGCCTTGTGCCCCGGGCCAGGTGCTGAAGATCCTGCTGCACACCTGCTCCCAGGGCTCCCCCCAGTTCGTGCTGCAGCTGAAGAGGAACGCGGGGTTCATCCGCGAGGCTGCGGGTAACAGGCTGGGCTGGGCTGGACACCCTGGTGGGCTCCTGCTGCGGGGGCTGCAGCAGCAGCAGGGTCCATCCCCCATCCCCCCCCCATGTGTCCACAGTGTTCTCCGGGCCCCCCGACCCCCTGCACGGCAACAGCCTCAACCAGAAGGTGCGGGCGGCTGCACAGGTGGGTGCTGGGGGGGGGGCAGGGCAACCCCAGCCCCACCCTGGGGGTCCCCAGCGCTGCCCACACTCCTCCCTCCCTCCCTCTACCAATCCCCCAGGACCTGGCCACCGTTCTCTTCTCGGATGCGCCGCTGCCGCAGCCCCTGGCACTGCCCGCCCGGGCCCCCGCCGGTGAGTGCAGCCCCCCAGCACCCCGGGGAGCCTCAGCCAGGGGGGACCCCGAGTGCTGAGTGCTCCCTGTGTGTCCCCAGGGATGGGCTCCAGCCCCAGCCCCTGCGGGTCCCTGCAGGGGTTCGGCTTCAGCGGTGACAGAAGCGGCCCCGGTGAGTCCTGCCCGGGCCCTGCCCTGCCTGGAGCTGTGACAGGGCCCTGGGGGGCACTCTGTACCCTGTCCCCGGAGCTCCCGGGGTTTCCTCAACTCGCTCCCCCAGTCTGGGAGCCCGGGATTCTCTCACACCCCCCCTCTCCACAGCTTCCACCGGGGAGGCCCTGCTGAGCAGCCTCCAGCGAGCGGCCGAGGCCGTGGCCCAGGCTGTACTCCCAGCGCCAGGGGGGCCCCGGCGGCCCCAGGGGGACCTCCCCGAGGACACCTACGAGCCCGTCCGAGCCCCCTCCCCCAGCGGCAGCCCGGCCCCGCTGCCCCCGCCGCCCCCCAGCACCTGTGGGTCCCGAGGTGGGTCCTGCCAGGGGGTCCCCACCCACCCTGGGGGGCTCGGGGACCCCCGCTCAGCACTGCTGTCCCCGCAGTGAGTCACCAGCCCGGGCTGGCCGGGGGCGGCTGGGAGGAGGCGGACAGCGGGCACAGCTCCCGGGAATCCTCGCAGGGACACGAGCAAAGCCGCGCCTCAGACTCGGGCAGCAAATCCGGCAGCGACAGCCGCTCCGGGGCCAGCCGGGAGCTGAGCCACAGTGCCGACAGGTGAGGGGGGCTGGGGGGCTCCCCTGCCCCTGGCACTGTGCGAGGGGCATCCCCAGGAACGCTGCCCTGGTGCTGCCGGCTGTTCCTCCTGGGATATTTGGCCTCCCAGCCCTGGGTGGGCAGAACTGCTCAGGGGTGGGGGGTCCCTGGCTCTTGGGGGGTGCTGGGTCTGTGCCGGACCCCAGGAGAGGGGAGCAGGTGTCCCCTGTGCCCAGCAGGTGTGTCCCCTGCAGGGTGGACGCTGACAGCCCCGGTGACTGCCGGCGGGAGGTGAGCCTGGTGTCGGGGCTGACGCGCGGGGCCAGGGTCTTCCTCACCAGGGAGGAGGCTCAGCACTTCCTCAAGGAGTAAGTGTTGGAGCTGGGGGCTTCTGGGGGCACCCTGAGCCTTTCCCACCCCCCTGCCTGGGCCTGGATCCCCACGGTGGGGAGGGGTGAGGAGGGGCTGTGGGCAGCTGTGGCCTCCCTCCCTGTCCAGGTGTGGACTCCTGAACTGTGAGGTGGTGCTGGAGCTGCTGGGCCGGGCTCTGGAGGATCCCAGCGACAGCGTCCGCATGGTGAGCACGGGATGTCCCCCTCAAGGGGGCTGGGGGCTCTGGGGGCTGCCCAGCTCAGCCACGATCCCCTTTCCCGTAGAGATCCATGTCTGCCCTGTCCGCCCTCGGCTGCTCCGACCTGCTCTCTCCAGAGCAGATCTTTGCTGTGACCCGGCAGCACCTGCAGCAGCTCAGCCAAGGCAGCCCCGGGCCTGTGGCCAACCGGGCAACCAAGGTGACTCTGGGGGCATCCCTGTGCCCAATCTCAGAGCAGGGGGGCTCCTGGAACTGGCTCCCCACTCCAGGAGACACAGAGCTCTTGGGGATGGCCCAGTGTATGTCCCAGAAGGGGGGGATTGGTGGCCTCTCCCGGGAGCAGGGAGCCCGGGTGGGTTGATGCTTCCCACGAGGGGACACTGGGGAGAGTCCCTGTGCCTGGGAACAGAGTGACCTGTCCCTCTGCTGATCTCACCTGGCCCCTCCTGCTCCTCTCGCAGATGCTGCGGCAGTTCGAGGCCCTGTGCCGGGCCCAGCCCTCCCCGAGGGCCCTGCGCCCCTCCCCGCCCCCCCCGGCAGGCTCGGCCGGGGACCTGCTGATGGACTGCCCGGCCCTGGCCGGCGAGAGCATCCTGACCCCGCTGAGCCCACCCCCCGTGGCCCCCCCTGCCCCTGGAGAGGAGCTGGGGGCAGGAGCGGAGCCCCCCAGGGCCGCGGTGCCTCCGTGTCCCTGCCAGCAGGGTCAGGGGATCAGGCCAGGGGGGCACATGGCAGCCCCCGGGCTGTCTCTGTTTGCTGGGATGGAGCTGGTGGCCCGTCCCAGTGCCGTGATCCGGCCGGAGTCGCCACTGGCACAGACACGGACACTGCCCCAGCCCCGGGACACAGGGACGGACATGGGCACGGACATGGGCAAGGACACAGGGACAGGCACGGGCATGGACACGGAGGGCCTTCGGCAGCCCTCGGCCTTCGCCTTCCTCAACATGTAGCTGCTGTGGGGTCCCGGGGGCTGCGGGGGCTGAGCCCCCCTCCTTGCGAGGCCTGTGGTGTCCTGGTCCCTCAGGGGGACATGGGGTGTGAAAGGGTCCCTTGGGGGGACACGGGGCTTCCATCAGGTGACAGTGGCCCTGTCCCTGATGTTCAGGGTGGGCAGAGGGGCCTGGCCGTGGCACCTCTCTCTCCTCTGGGCTGGAGAGGAGCTCAGGGCCCCCTAGAGCTGAGCTGGAGGTGCTGTGGGTACCCTGGCATGGCCATGGGGTGTTCCTTCCTGGCCCCAGCTCTGGCCCAGGCTCTGTGGGGCTGAGGTGGGAGATGGTGCCATCCCCGTGGGGCCAGGACCCACCAATAAACCCCCCCTCGGGTCTGGCAATGTGTGACTTCTTCCTGCGCCTCTGCTGGAGCCCTGCCCTTGGCTCCCTCTTCCCCAAGGGCCCTCCCTGCCCCACAGCCTCCCATCATCCCACAACCCCCAGCAGTCCCACGGCTCTCCCCTGCCCACAGCCCCCCAGTAATCCCACAGCTCCCTGCCCCACAGCCACAGCCTCCCATAGGGTCCCCAGCATCCCCCTTGCCCCACATTCCCCCAGTAGCCCCACGGCCCCCCCAGTAGCCCAATGACTTCCCCCTCTCCCCCCGGCTCCCAGAGCCCCCCAGTGTCCCCATTTCCCCCCGAATAACCCCATCACTGTCCCCCCGCCCACGTGGGTCAAGCCCCGCCCTCTGCAAGGCCCCGCCCCCTTACCTGCCCCCCGCCCTTCTCCCCCTTCACTGGGTTC